ATGAGCTCTTTTTGGGGTTTCTTATCTTCAGAGTAACCCATTCACTTTAACTAAAGCTCAGTCCTTCTTCTTTTTTTCTTTTCACTCTCTCTCTCTACTCTACATAGCGAACCGGAGAAATGCTTGTCGGTGCGTGGTGATGCTCTTAACGAAGCTGTTTTGTTTTCTGGGTCTGCGTTGTTCTGCCGGAAAAATACTGCGGTCAATTAGGTTTGTCGTGTCGGATATGTACTAGACTGATTGTTGTTGGGTAATTTAGGGTTTTGTATTGTGAAAAGCAGAAATTGATAAGCTGAAAAGAGGGGAAGGAAGATTCTGTAACTTTCGGATATTCAAGAGATTTGATTTTCTTCTGCTAATGCGTTCTTGTATCTTTAATCTCTCATAAGCTGCTGAAGCTTATGAAATTTCTACTGATCTGTTTATCAGATCAAAAGCAATGGCTGAGAAGCTAGTTTTGAGATTCCAGACTCTTCAGTACTGTTCTTCTTACTGCCATCAATATACCTGAGCTTTGGTGTAAGAGTGTAGGGTTTGGATAATTTATCTAGTTATGGAGGATATAGGATTGGTTAAGCAAGGTTGGAAATGGGTTCAGTCTCAGAAACATTTGTGCTCATGGGTTTGCGATGCAATGCGATGTTTTGGTGAAAAGACCGAAGCTATAGCAGAGCGTCACTGGCCCCTAGTGTGTAGTGGATGTGGGAAGCTATTAGGGTTGCTTAGTTTATCCTTTGTTTACTGGAAAGACTGTATTTTGAGGGGTTTCCAGTCCAGTGCCAAATTTGGTTCAGCTGCTTTGCTCCTGATAATGTGGAGTTGTTTCCTTAGCCTGACTTCAATAGCTTGCTTGGTTTATGTTCTGCTCGGTATGGTAAGGCCTCTCGATTCCCTCTTCTTGAGTTCTCGATTCTGAGTTCTAGATGTTTAAATAACAAAGACTAAGAGCGCCTTAACAGATCTCATGTATGGTCTTGGTGGTATGAGAAAAAAAACTATTATAAAAAATACTATCTTGGAGGCAAAACGTCGAAAGTCAATAAATCATTTGTTCTTAGAAGTTATTTCCCGCAAATGGGTTTTAGATTTTTGTTAAAGTGTACATTTAACTTGGAGATTTGGCTGCGGTGTTTCACTTATTGAGTGAAATTTGATTCTCACCTATTCTTGATTTACCATCGCAGGGAGCTGCTGGTGCTGTCGTCTTGTACTTAGGTTGTACTCCTGGGATCTTCATTGTAGGACTATTTGGAATTTTGATTTTGTGGATGTACGCTAACTTTTGGATCACTGGAACATTATTTATAGTTGGAGGCAAGTGTAAATTTTTATTTTTCCAGAGTCTTATTATGATGATTTTATTGCTCGTTCTGTCTTTTTCCCATTGCGATAAAAACTAATGAATCTTGTATATAGTGTTAATGTCTCTAGTTCTTTAAATCAGGTTATTTGTTCTCCTTGAATCACGCGCGGGTGGTGGTTCTTTTGGCAACAGTGTATGGAATGTACTGTGTCAAAGTTAGACTTGGGTGGCCTGGAGTTATTCTCTCGATGAATCTTGCATTCTTGTCCAACGATATATTTATTTGTCTTCTTCAATGGTGTGATAGTGCTAGTGAAAAAACACAAACAGAAGAGCCAAAGAAACCTGAAACTGTAATAGAAGAAGAGTTTCCAGGAGAGTTTGAGTATTCTTCTGTTCCTGTTGAAGAACCAGAGAAAAAAGTTCATGAGAATAAGTCAGCCAATAAGTCAGCATCACCGGCAACTGTTGTTAGCAACTTGAAGGAGGTTTCTAATGTTAAGGTAGTCAATATAGAAACAGAATCAACTGATGAGATGAAAAGAATACTGCATAGTTTGAATCACTATGAAGCATTGGGGTTCCCTCGGCATAAAAAGATTGATGCCGCGGTGCTTAAGAAAGAGTATAGAAAAAAGGTATGGTATTTGGAAATTCGCTGTGTATGTTCTCTTTGCTACGAGTGTTCTCTGCTAGTTAATTAAGTGGTTCTACTTTCTATTTGTAGGCAATGCTGGTTCATCCGGATAAGAATAGGGGAAGTCCTTTGGCAAGTGAATCATTCAAGAAACTTCAATGTGCTTATGAGGTAATTGTTGAAGGATGGATCGATCAAAATTGTAGTCTATGTATAGGATGGTGCGTGGTAGTTTTCAGCTCAGATGCTGTAATCACATGAAAGGCTGAATTTGCAGGTCCTTTCTGATTCTAGTAAGAGGAGAGATTATGATGAGCAGTTAAAGAAGGAAGAATCTAGGACTAGGAGTGTCTGTCAGACATCACATGCTTCTTCAGATCCGGTTAGTTGATATATTCTGTGAGATTGTTGATGTCTCATGTGTTGTTATATTATTTCCTTACGAAAATTGCTGAACAGATTTTCTGATTTCTTCAGAATAGTCCCAATTATCGATCAGAAGAGTCAAGGCGCATACATTGTACGAAATGCGGTAATTCACACATTTGGGTATGTACCAACAGGAGTAAGGCAAAGGCCAGATGGTGTCAGGTAAGCCAACTCACGCTTGTCCTTATTGAGCATTTTGATTTCAAATCCGTATGCAGAACATCTATTTTACTAAATGGATTTGCTTCCACTAAAATTATAGGATTGCGGTCAACATCATCAAGCCAAAGATGGTGACGGATGGGTCGAACATAAAGGGAATCTGGTATTCGATAAAGCACATAAGGTTAGGCTCTCAATTCTTTTCCCCTTCTTTGTTTACGGTAATGTGAATTAATAGATTTATAACTTGCTCTGTAGATTGAAATACCACGCGCTTTTGTTTGCGCGGAGAGCAAGATCTTTGACGTTTCAGAATGGGCTATTTGTCAGGTTAGTGTTCTCATTCTTTACCAGTACCTCATGTGATAATTCTCTTCTCAATCCAAATGGGATATATCACCTAAGTGATAATGAATTGGCTTTAAGACTTTTCTGTTATGGC